CTCTGCCCACGCAACCCAGCCAATCGGCCTCAGGAGCAGGAGGATTGTGGGAGGTTGAGAGGCTGGTGTGGGGGAGAGAGGCTTGTGGAAGCCGGTGGTGGCAGTTGGGCTCTGAGGGTTTTTCCCTGGAGCTGTTTTGTTTGGCGTTTGTAGTTCTAAAAATAAAGTTAGTTTCTTTTTGACAAGTGGCTCCTGATTTGTGCCAAGCCAGACTTCGGCAGTGTTCCTATTTAAATTATAATTTAAATATTTTAAGCAGGTGTGAACATTTTATCAACATTGTTAAAAATGAATTGTTTGAATTATTAATTTAGTGTAATTGAAAATTAGATATATTTCATTGTCAGCCTAATTATGTCTTTATTCAGAAAAAAATTTTGTGTCATTCCTTGGGCAGATGGGAGATCCTTACATTTAGGATTGTTTTATGCTTGGTCACATCTCTATGTAGTCTGTGTCATCAAAGAGTTTGAGAGAGAGAATGAGGCAATAGTTTTTCTTTTTAGTTGTGTCTCCAATGACTAGCATAGTTCTATGAATATAAGAGCTCAGCAAGTGTTGCTTCTTAGGAACATAGCTTTTAAATACTTTCTTAGTCTAGTTTGTGCAGCTATAACAAAGTACAGTAATTTCCAATGATATTGCTTTCTGTAGTTTCCATTATCTGTGGTTAACTGTAGTCCAAAAATATTCTTTGCAAAATTCCAGAAATAAACCATTCATGTGTTTTAAATTGTGCACCATCCTGAGTAGTGTGATGAAACCTTTCCTGGCCCCACCTGGGACACGAATCAGCCCTCTGCCCAGCATGTCCACACTGTGTGTACTGCCCAACTGTTAATCACTTTGTGGGCCTTGCCTGTCAGATCCACTGCCATGCTATCACAGTGTTTATGCTTTGTTTTACTTCATCATGGCCCCAAAGCAAGAGAGTATATAGAGGGAGTGATAGCATACATAGGGTTTGATTTCAGGTATCCACTGGAGATCTTTGAAAATATCCCCCTTGGATAGGAGGGCATCTTATGTTTCAAAGACTGGGTGATTTATGATGAATAGAAATTTATTTTCTCATAGTTCTAGAAGATGGAAGTTCCAACATTGAGGGGACAGTATGGTAAGGGCCTTCTTAGTGTGGCATTACATGACAGAAGGGCAAAAAGAGATAGAGATGGAGACAGACAGAAAGACAGAACTTAGCCTTTATAATGAACTCACACGATGAGAAACCTGTTCCTGTGATGAGGATGGAGCCCTCATGGCCTGATCACCTCCCATTAGTCCTTACCTCCTAACACCCTTTCTTTGGGGGATAAATTTCCAAACATGCTTTTTGAAGGACACATTCAAACCATAACTAAGACTCAGGTGTTATCAACTTTTGTAAAGACTTTCCTTATGTCTTCTTCATTTGTAAGAATCGGCCCCTTCCTTTGCCTCTCACTAATAGACCTGTATGTATTGTCTTCTGTACTATAAACTCCTGAGGATGGGAACCATGTCTGATGGAGCTTGGAACAGTTCCTGTTAGATCTTCAGAGCTTGGAACAGTTCCTGTTCATAGGTCCTGTGCTTTCTGGAATGAAGCATTCATAACCTTGAATGACTGCAAAATGCAGGCTTTCCTTATCACAGTTCTTTATCAAGGACCAAGAAGATTTAGGTAAACATTTTGAAGAATATTTCTTGCTATCTACACTCATTTCTTGCTCTCTGGATTTTCAGGTTCAAAAAGATTTGGATTTTGTAGCATTCTTCACTACTGGAACTCTAGGAACTGAAAATAGGAGTATTTTAAAACATCTCAGAACATAGATCAAGTTTTTTGTGTGGACAGAGATGGATTCTAGGGCCTGTAATATTTCCTTGGAAGTGACTGTGTTGCTTTCATTCAGAATGTGCACACCTCTACCCTGTTATTTTTTTTATTTGAGCCATGTCTTTAATTTCTGGTTGACACTGTCCTATCTCTCTGGCTTTGGTCCTGGTTACCAGATATGGTAGCTGAAGGGCAGGGCTTGCTGTTGTCACCAGGATGCCAGCCTGTGGTAGCATACAAATTACAATTGCATAAAGCTAGTTAAACCCAGAAAACTCAGGTTTATGAGCTTCTGCTAACAGAAAAATTATTTTTTTTTAAATTTAAGCTTAATATGACTTATTCCACAAAATGGAAGCAGTATTTGGACAAAGTTAACACTTTCCATGTGTAAAAGACTAGGGTGGTTTTATTTCTCAGTGTAGTATTGTATCCAGTTGGAATGTATGGCTAAGCTATTGTTTTTTGACTTTGAACCATTGAGTTGAAATGGTATTTTATTCTAGAGGGAGAGGTATTAAGGAAATGAGAAGATTAGCTTTTATCAGGTACCTATTCTGCCAGCCATGACACTAAGTGCTGCCACATGCACTGTTCCGTTCAGTTCATACAATGATTTTTTTTAAACCACTATTTCTGTTTTATGTTAATATTTTATTCTGAGGTAATTGTAGGTTCATATATTGATGGAACAGATGATACAGAGAGATCTCTACCTTTCACCCACTTTCCTCCAGGGTTAACTTCCTGGGTAACTACAGCAGAGTTGTGGAGACTAGGAAATTGCCATCGGTATAGACAGCCAGTGGTTTGAACGTGTCTGTGAAAGTTCTTGTATTGAAAACTTTGTCCCCAATACAATGATGTTGGGACCTCAAAAGAGGTGATCAGGTCATAAGGGCTCTATTCTCACAAGTGGACTGATGCTAATGCAGGAGTGGGCTTGCTGTAAAAGTGAGTCTGGCCCCCTCTTGCTCCCTTGCTCTGCACTTCTGCCTTCCAGCATGAGTTGACACAGCACAAAGGCCCTCACCTGGTCCCAGTCTCCAGAACCATGAGCCAAGTAAATGTGTATTATTTATATCATTTATAAATTACCCTGTGATATTCTGTGATAGCACCACAGAATGGACTAGGATACCCCATTGACTTTATTCAGATTTCACTAGTTTTCTATGTACTATTGAGTGTGTGGGTGTGTATGTAGTCTGTGTGGTTTTACCATTTGTCAATTATTTTTTTTCCCCCCAGTACTGGGGGTTGAACCCAGGCCTTTATGCGTGCTAGGCAGGCACTCTACCACCTTCTGTCATTTCCTTTTAAACACATGAGGGAAACAAGATTCAGTAACTTATGTGAAATGCTCCAAATATAGACATGGGGTTTGAATCTATGTCTGTACTTTTTGCTTTTCAGTAATAATATGATTAGTAACAATAATTAGTAATAACAATGACTGGATCTGAGTTACATATGGAACATGATGAATACTGACCTATGTAAGTTATATCATAGTTGAAATCGTTATCCTTAATTAAACTCTAACTCATATTACCCCAAGGATAGGTAATTATTTTTATAACTCCTGAAATCAGTAGTAAAAGAATGAAATTCCACTCTTTTAACATGATTTTACATTTTGAACTTCTGACCTTAACTACTGATCTTGGAGCTGTGTGGAAGGGGAGAGACGGAAACAGACAGACAGACAGACAGACAGACACACACACACACACACACACACATACACACACACATATTCATGCAGACATTTACACACACATACACACAGACCTATGTTGTTATTGAGTTAGGTTGACATACTTTAAAAACAGTTTTACAAAATGGGAAATAAGAGCTGGCTTAGGCAGTATTCTAGGGTTTTAGGGAATAAATGTAAAGCATCAAAAATATTTAAGAATGTAATTGGGAGAAGTGTTTTCTTTTTTTTTAAATAGAGTTTTAGATTTTTGGTAGGGTCTAAGTACAGTCTTAGGAATGTTTGAATTTAATCAAATCTCCCAAGTTACCCGTCAAACTTTCAGAGTGGTACCTTACGCATTTGCTTGTGAATTATCACTGATTAGCATGGTGTGATCCTGCTTTAGGAAGATAATAGATCTACTAATTAGCAGCCCATAATATACTATTCTTTGCTAGCTAAATATCTTGTAAAGCTGTCCCCGTGATGAACAGCAGCACTTACTCAGATCCAAAATAACAGCAGTCCCGTGTGTTGCTGGTCCCATGAGGTCTTGGTGTTTTTGTAGACAGCAGACAGAAATAAAAGGAATTTTGTCCTTTTTACCTCATGTAATCCCACTGGAAAATGAAACATGTGCTATGAGTTGATACTGACTTCTGCCAGGTCACCTCCCTAAAGAGTCTCAGGCAAGCACTGTTGCAACATTTCTTGGACAGGAGTCTGACGGCCTGTGATGGAGATGGATGGTTTGTGTAGCATGCTACTGTGGAACACTATGCTACTGTCTGCCCCTAGGAGTCTTCCAGTGAGCAAATGCCATGGGGAACCTGTGTCTGCTATTTTAACTCTTTCAGAGGGGAGTTAGATGAATGTCACATATCCCCATTTAGACTCAGTCCTGTGTAGCTTTCTCTTTCTTAATTGTTGACTACAATAATGTAGTACCATGGGCAGATTATTTGGTCTTCCTTAGTAGAACCTGATTTTTAATGTTAGGTTAATACACATATTTTTGAAGCTATATGTTATTAGGAACTCTCTGGACAGTGCAAAGCCTTTTTAGTAGACCACTCTATTAATTTTCTGTTCTCCTAAGGAAGTTTTTCCTATTCATGACTCATTTCACTCTTTGGCTAGCAGTGAGGGAAATGTAATAACGATTAAGGAAAGGAATGTATGTGTTTTCTTCTTTTTCTGAAAACCTGTACACATTTTCTGTCTTGGGTTATGTAAACTTGGATGACTGCAGAATGTTGACAACCGTGAAAGGTAAAAGCTTGTCTGTTAATACATACTTCTTTGGAATTGAAAAATCAAAAAACTTTACTTTGCTTCTTTGGCGCAGTGTTTTGCTTGATGACCCAGAATACAAATCCAGTTAAAATGACATGTTCCAGCTGTCATTTACACACACCTTAAGCGAAATTAATGAGATCACTCTAAGATTACGCTTTGTGTTTTATTTTCATTTTATAGGTCTCTATGAGCTGTTGGCTGCTCTGCCAGCCCAGCTGCAGCCACATGTGGATAGCCAGGAAGACCTGACCTTCCTCTGGGATATGTTTGGTGAAAAAAGCCTGCATTCACTGGTAAAGGTAAACCATGCTGATGTCAGATTCTCTTTGAAAAAAAACATATGGAAAAATATTTTGAGCGCCATCTAGTAAACCAGAGATCAAATTGTTGCTCTCTGAAAACAAAACAGCCTTGTTTCATTTCACTGACAGGCGTGGAAGTTGTTAAAGATTCTACCAAAAATACATAGATGATTTCACTTAATGGTGGTGATCTGGCTATGCATACTAATGCAGCAAACATGTGGTTGCCCTTGTTTAGAAAAAGAATATGAAATAGTAGCAGGAAGGTTTAGCCTCCTTCATGGTCAACATTCATGAGCTGGAATTTAACTTAAATAAATAAATGTTCACAGCAAAAATTAGAAGGAATATATTTTCTGAGGTCAAGGATGGCAGCAGTTCAGTAGCCACATTAATTTAAAATAATTTCCTTTAACAAAGTCAACTGAAATTCTAGTAAGCTCTTTTCTTTTATTGGCACAACTCTATTGAAATGGTATTTTGTAGATAAATACACTGAACCTAAATATGAATAAAAACAGTTTTTGGAGATGGTTTTAGTAAAGCATCATGCCATGAAAATGATCAGCCACCAGGAACCAGATCTTGTCTTACAGAAACACTGGGAGTGATCAGAACTCTTAAAATAGTAAAATGAGAACAATAAACTTACTGGAAAATATGTTACTCTTGCTTCTGGAAATATGAATTGCATTTTCTCTCATTTAATTCAAGCTGAAAGAAATTTAGAGTCTTACTTGAGTCTGTAGGAGGTAGAAACCTTTGCCTCCATGAAATCTGGACCTATGCTTAATTCAGCTAAATTTGTTATGGTTGTCTGTCATGATAGGAGGCTTTTAATTGATGTACAGTATTTGAAAAGGAGCCACTTCTAGTTGCAATTGCATTATGGAACAGAATTCTTCATATATATATATATTTTTTTTTTCTTGTTGTGCAATTTACTGAGATTTGTGTGCTCTGAGTAGTAACAGTTCTCAAGAAGTGAAAGCTGATACATGGCATTTCCCTGGCAATGCATTTAAAGTTTTATTTGTTCATTTATTTACTTTTTATAATAAGGTAATTGCCAAGGTATCTTTGTGCTCTAAATAATTTTAGGCAGTTTAGTTGCTTTCTTGGGGTTTCTTAGAAATGGTTTTGAGATTACAGTGGATGAAGTTTATGACTTGGTGAGGTAATCATAGAAATATTTCTGTGTTGTATGTATGGGAGTGGAATAGCTATGGATTGATTTATATTGACTTGATCCTTTGATGGGGGAATAGAGTGTATTTGACTTGGCATCATCATCCCTTGATTATTAAATAAAATGTCCCTAAACAATGGCTGTATGTTTGTATTTTTTAAGAGCATGACTACTATATCAATTTCCTTATGTAAAATGGAAGTTAGAATATCTGTTGGCAGGGTTGCAAGTTTCAGATAAAATAATGAAGATTGTAAGTTCCTTGATAGATGTGTAGGTTAGGCAATGTTAAATAGATATTATTAAATACTGAGGCAAAAGACCCAGCACGTGAAAAAATACAGAGGTGGTTGTTATTTCTATTAAAAGAACAAAACTAAGATATACAACAGATTCTCAAGTTACATTGGCTGGTAACTGTTAAGCATAGGCTGTTTTCCAAAGTATATGTCAGTAACAAGTAGTTAGGAAGCATTCCGGACGGTGTCGATATCTGGTTTGTTAAAAATAGAAGCAAATAAATGGCTGTTGCCGGTATTTAGATAGCATGGTTAATGTGTGCTATTCTAAATATTTTTCAGTAATTACTATAAAATGTCTTTTAAAAATTAGTTTTATTATGTACCTTTAATACATTCTCAATTTCTTAATACATTCTCCCCACCCCCAACATTGATCAGATGCAGATCTCAAGTGTGTCCTTTGACTGACCCATTCTATTAGTTTCAAATAAGTAAAGTCTAAATGCCTCCACGAGGCAGACTCATGGGATTGTAGCTTTAAACAGCTGGAAAAAACCACTTCTCTGTATTCCAAGTGCCTCTATTCAAGGTTGGAGGATAGAAGCCTTCAGCTTTTGTACATAAATCTTGATAGAGCAGAAGGAATTTGTTTGAAAAGATTTGTTTTAGAGTGAATCAAAATGTGCTTTGGTTTTATGCACTTTTGCCTGAAGTTAAAGTGGTTAGGCTGTGATTTAAAACTGGGTGAACACAAAATTTGATTTTTATATCCTAGCACAAAATTTTCATCATCCAATTTTGTATATAAAAAAGCTAGTTGTAAATCACCACACAGTTTTAAATACGAACAACCTTTGGAGATAATGTAAAATAGAATTAAAAAGAGGCATTTTGGCATTTCAGTCTGTAACAGGTACAGCATGCCACCTTGGGGTATTGAACTTGTCACTGGAAAGAAATAGGATTATGCTTCCGGGTGGTAACTGAGGATTATTATGATTATTTTTTTGGAGATATTAAGTAGAAAAACTGAATAATAAAATCTGTGAGTATGAGATTTTGTAGGTAACAGAAGGAAATGGTACTGAGAGAGAACCTGGAAAAGGAATAGAAAAATATATATACATGGGGGGAGTGGAAGAAACATATTATAATTTACATGATCTAGTGAGTGTGATGGAGCAGCAGTCTTAGGTGTATAGCCACGTTTTTGACCCACGAAGCATATATTTTATGTTCTAATATTTGTAGATTTATCTTCTATCGTTGACTTTTTTTTCTTTTGAGATCTCTTGAAATTTAATTTTATTTATTTGTATGTTTGTAATCTGTTTTAATTTCTCTATAGAAAAAAATATGTCTAGCTTAGATATTGTATTGCTTTGAAATTGGGTTGTAGTTTCTTCAAGAAATTTCTGTTTTTAACTCATAGTTGTGTTGGATTTCTAGGATAAGAATATCAAATTGTCATTACTTTTTAAATAGTTGCATGTGTTTTCCTCATTTAAATAGCCACATATATGTGAGGGCAGGAGCAAAAAAGTTGTTATTTGAATTTTATTCTTTTTTCAGATTCTGAGATATTTCAGCAAACACAAATTAAAATTTTAAAGACACAGTTCTTTATGGTTGAATTACTGTGCATATTTTAGTGGTTTCAGCCTTAAAGGAATAATGCTAAATACTCAGCTAGATCCTTGTAATGTTGTTACATAACTTTAACTTTTGATTATTGATTAATTTGTTCACACTATGTGTGTGGAGTACTTACCATAAACCAGTCACTATAGGGACTGTCAGGGCTGAATATCTAAATATTCAACAAGGAAGGCACAGTCCTCTTCCTTGTTGAATCTCCAGTCTCCCAGAGGACTCAGATGAAAAGGTGGACAATTAAAACATTCTGTGGTAGATCACGTTGAGAGCTTTTATGAGAGGCGCAAGGTGTGTAACTCAACACCGGCCTCAAGGAGGGGACCCTGGCGGATTTGATATCAGCTAGACCCTGCAAGCTGAGTAGGAGTTGTTCAAGTAAGATTTCTGGGGGACAGTGGGAGTTTAGGCGAGAGGAGTGACATGCAGAATGTCTGGAGGTAAGAGCAAGAGTTGTATCCTTAGAATAAGGACTATCTTTTGGCTGGTATGTGAATTAAGAAAGAGTGGACAACATGTGGCAAAAAGTTAAGCAGAGACCTACTCTTAAACTGCCCAAGGTGTACAGACTGATGGAGCCATTGTATTGGAAGGTTTAAAGCAGGGTAGTAAAGAAGTGAACATTTTCCTAGCTATTATGAACATTTTCTGCACTATTTGTATATCATCTTTAGAAAGATGACTACTTGGGATTCTTTGCCCATTTCTTTCCAATTGAAAGAATACTTTTCTTCCAGAAGCAAATTGATATGCTATGCAGACTGATGGAGCATGCGATTCTAGGATGATGTTCAAGGATGATGGTGACAGAGTGTTGGGAAAGGGGAGCTGATTTTTAGTTTGAGAGACAGAGACTGATTCCAGCATGTGTGCTTTACTTAATGTCTCAAAACTCCTGCCCCTGGATCCAGCCACTGGGTTTATACCAGGCCATTGGGAGTTGAAAGCAGACTCCAGGAGCCAGACTTAAGGTCCCAGGTACCAGTTCTTATATATTTGCTGGTCCTCAGAGGAAATGAGAGATGATTTTAGTTTGTTTATGTTTGTTTGGTATTTGGAGCATAATCAAATAGACATGCCTATTATATGGTTGGATACATGTACCTAGAAGTGAGGATAATTATGTTCCGGGTTGAGGAAAATCAGTATGGGGGGAGGGCTGCAGTGAAAAGTACAGGACATGTAGTTAAACTTCAGATACATAGTGTGGAAGTTTTTAGTGTAAGCATGAACCATGCAGTATTTGTATTTTTACTTGTGAAACTTGGCGACTCTGTTTGGGATTCATTAACATTTAGGTGGTAACTTTTTTGTTGTTGTTGTTAACATTTGTACACTATACAATTCACAAATTGAAAACAAAATTCTGTTATTTTTGGTGTATTTACAAGGTTGTGTGCAACATCTCTATTGTCAACTTTAGGACCTTCTGATCACCTCAGAAAGAAACCCTGCACCCCTAGTTATTATCCTCTAATCCCTACATCCTCCTGTTCATCAGGTCTAAGCAGCTACTAATCTACTTCCTGTCTTTGTGTATTTGCCCATTCGGATATTTCATAAAGATGGAATCATGTGCTTTTTTGGTGACTGACATCTGTCACTTACTTTAATACCAAGCTTCACCCACATCTGGTGTGTATTTGTACCTCATTCCTTTCTTTTGCAGAATAGTACAGTATAGATATGCTACATTTGTTTATCCACTGATAGACATTTGGGCTGTTGCTACATCTTGACTGTTAAGAATAGTGTTCCTAAGAACATTTGTGTTCAAGTGTTTATGTAGATATGTTTTCAACTCTCTGGGGTATATGTTTAAGAATGAATTGTTTGGTCAAATGGTAACTCTGTGTTTAACATTTTAAAGACCTGCCAGAGTATTTTCCAAAGTGATCACACCATTTTATATT